TGAGCAGATATATAGTGGAAGCCAGTGGGATTTCAAACAAATATCCTGCTATTTCATACCCTAAAAGGTAAATAACCCATGCAAGGTGAGACATCCAAGGAACCAAAAAAAAAGTAATATTCTGAGCGCATTCCCCTTTCTGTAATTTTCAGTCTCTTGCTGAACAATGCTGGTTACCTGACACCCTGAGAATTAGGAGTTAGTGTTTCCTCGGTGGTGAGATAGTTTCAGCTTCTCAGTCCTGTTCTGGGAGGTGACAGTGGGGAGGGCATGGTGGGATCTGAGTTCCTTCATCCAACAGGGCCGAGCAGAAAGTCCTTACTCTTACCTGAACTGGGACTCTACAAAGGAAAGGCACAAAGCAGCCTCTGGATAAAACTGTGCAGTTGGACTGTTTCTGTTAGAAGGGATCCCTGGGCTACATCCTGTGTTTGATAGCTGTAGCAATTTACTGTGTTTTTTCTAAAAGAGCAACTCATCTTTGATAAGTTATTGTTAAATAATTCTTATTCCTTCTCTTTGCTACTGTTAGCAGTCTCTTTATAAATGTATACAATTGATTGACCAATAGTTTAGGATTTGCAAATCTTAAGAGAACCAAATACCTTGTGAAATGGTTTGCCAGAGTGAAATTTCTAATTTAATTGATCTCTAACATAGCTGAAGTTGTGTTATAATTACATTTATTAGAAGGAATGCTCTTGTATGAATTAAATTTCAAGGAAGAAGTCTAAAAGTGTAAAGGAGTCTCTGTCCCTCAAATTACAGCTTTAATTGGCTGTGGATGGATCTTCCTCTGGTATTTATTCCTGCAGCTGGGACATGGGATTGTACTGGATCCATTCTGAGTTTGTCTGATGAGTCAGGGTTCATGAGGGTTAGCTGACACATGTTCCACTCTAATCTCATCTGCTTTTATCTTAGAGAACTGTTAACATGTCACCTGTCAAACTCCTCTCCCAGCCAGACCAACTGCAGGAAACAATGAAACCTCATGATGGACCAGCTGGTGCAGTGACTTTTGGGCCAAGATTTGGCTGGTTTGGAGCTCTTCTGGCTATGGATGCGCATGTTTTACTGCCTCTCCAAGCCAGCACCCTCAAACATAAAAGGCTTTTTGTCATTGCCCTTTAAGCACATTCTGTCCTTACCGGTTAACATCAAGGGACATTGACATCCTGTCTCTCGTGTGCCTCTATGGGATGAGGGGATTCTGTTTACTGTTCCTAGTTCACAAAAGCTACTGAAATTTGTTTGCCAGATACTGGCCTGCCATCTTCCCTAATCTTAAGCTGATCAAGGAAATCCTTATTGACACAGAAACAGTGTAAAGCAACTCATGAAGTAGTTTAATATCAGAGTGTCTCACTGGAAGCACTGGTTTCCCAGTGTTCCTCTACATTTGGTAATTATTTCTGCAGCTTCTCTGCAGAAGTGCTCTTAAGATTTAAGGACATCAATCTCATCTGCACATATTTTTCAAATTATAAGAAAGCCTGAAGTGAAGACAGAACTAACTTTGCTCAAATTCTGTTTAAAGGAAACAAAACTCAGCTTGTCAAGCCTCATCCTTATGGGATTCTTCTACACGTGCACATCTTTCTTGCACCTCCACTTGGCTGTGTGCAAAGTTCTTAAAAGGATGTGACCTCCCTGAGAGCTTTTGGGTCTGAGGATGCAGGGGTGTATTCTCACAGGTTTATTCTCCCATCCATCCCCCCCTTCACTTCAGGGGCCCACAGATGAGCTCAAGCAGCTGGGACATGATTGGCCTTCTCCAGTTCTCCAGTTTGTTCTTGAGACTCTGTTGTGGTTGCAGCTGTCAGTCCAGCACAGCAGCTGTTGTGGCACCAAGGGCTTTCACCCAGTCAGAATATGTGCAGAATATCAAAATGCAGCTTTATTGTGTCATCTCCAGTTGAGTTGTCTTCTAGTTTTCTTTGTCCAGAGGCAGCATAAAAATCAAAATGTGAATAGAGTATGAGGCTGGCAAAGATTAGCCTGTATTTGGCTTAATCTTTCTATTTCATACAGAACTTGTAGTTTTAGCAGTGGTGGGCTTCAGAGAGGATGTGGTTCATATTCCTGCTATTCAGATGTCTCAATGCCAGTAACAGTCAATCTGTTTCTGGGCCTGGGTTTTGAAATGTTAACCTGAACTTACTTTCTCTTTGTAGTTTAACCCCAAGGGTTAGTTTTACAAGGATGGAGCTGTGGTGTTTGCCTGGCCAAGGGTGGTGTTCCCAGCAGCTGCAGACTGGGAATGTGCCTGGTTAGTGCAGGAGGGAGGCCGATGGCTCCACTGAGCCCAGGCTCTCCATGTTTTCTTTACTTCCCTGAATCCCATCAGATTTTGTTGATGTGTTATGGGAGACTGCCAGTGTGAACGTACAATAGGAGTTGTATATACTTCATCTTTGCATCCTTACATGTAGCATCATCTTGCTGGCCATTTTCATTCAACGGAGCAAATGTTAGCTGTAATGGATCCCCTTCCGAGACAACAGTTTGTTTAGATTTACTACAGGTTCTATGAGGATCTTGGTTTTTTTTCCCTCAAAAAATTTACTTACTCCTTTTTTTTTTATGCTTTACTTCGTATTTTTGGTCTTTTGTTCTCTAGGTTATATCTCTCTGTTTTTCCACACAGTTCTCTCTGACCTTAACTAAACATTTCATATTTTACTGTTTGCTTACAGTCTATCACTATGCACTAAACTGCTTCCTACTTAGTACGTGACCTTGCAGAATATCTGCTGGTTTCTTGCCTGATTACCATTTAATTCTGTTCTTTGCCTTCTGTCCCATCCAGCATCAGAGTTGTGCCAATTCTTTGTTTTTTCAACAATAGCCAAATAATTTTTTAGAAGCCTTTTGTTGGAAATCTGTAAAAATATGAGTGAACTCTTAGCAACAGACTTTCTTTTCTTCTCATTCTCTTCATTGATGCATTCAGAGAATCCCAATGAGTTTGAGATCTGCTTTTCCTCTTCAGCTGCTGATTGGACTCGGATCTTTTCCAGCATGATTTTATTCCTCTTGAACTGCAGGTTCAATCAAATTGAGTGACAACTGCAAGTTTACAACCATTCCTTTACTTTCCAGGTCTTGGTATAACATCAAGGTTGGAGGGGGGTTATCCTTTTAAGTGGTAATTTTGCTTCCCGTGTGACTGTGTCATCTTTTATTGTGTGCATGTATCAGCTGCATATGGTAATCTTGTCAGTTACTTTTCAATTACCAGTTCCTTACCATACTTTTTTATTGTTGTTGTTTGTAGTGACATTTCCAAGTCTGGTATCACCTCATCCTGTTGTATACCCTGTCTAAAAACAGTGGCTCTTTTCATTTACTGTCCATGCCACATGTGAGAATTTTACTTTTTATAATTTTTTGTTAGTAATTCTATGCATTTTGTTGAAATGTTCCTTTCTGAAGCTTATTGTCACTGCATTATTTTGGGGAGTTTGCCCTCTCTGTGGATCCAGAGTGGGATCCTGCTGTGGCTGTTGTTAATGAAGAGCTGTGGTCCTTACCTCTTAACTCCTTTCTGTTGCAAGACACTCGCTTAGCCCTGTGTTTTATAGAGCTAACTGCACTAATTTAAATGTGAATTTGTTTACCAGCCTTTATGGTAGGGGTTCCTTCCCACCTCCCTGTGATCAAACCTTCTTCTGCTCTTCGTTTTGCTTCCTTAATCTTAAAGTGGGCATTATCACCTACAAAAATTCACATGCAGATATATAGACAGACCATGAATTTGTGAACTTATGTTGTTTTTTTACCCAGCTGCCTCCATGCCTGGTCTCACAGGTTTAACTTTAGTGTTCATTGCAGGAGCCACTGTATCTCACTGATGTTCTTGGCTCTGTGTCCATAGCATGTGTTTTGTTACAGCCATTGTGCAATAGAAGGCAGTCTACATAACATCATTTTGCTTTTGGCTTTTTTTCTTGTACTGCTTCAGCCTCAGCAGCTAAACATATTTGAGCAACCTGGTCTAGTGGATGGTGTCCCTGCCTGTGGCAAGGGGTTGGAACTAGATGAGCTTTAAGGTCCCTTCCAACCCAAACCATTCTGTGATTCTATGACTAGCCCTACTGTGCTGATTTCTAGGCTTTTTCTATACATGGGGTGGATTCACCTTGGTTGCTAGCTAGGACAGTATATATTTGCCAAGACAACAGAGGCAAACCTGTGATTATGGGAGACTGGGAGCAATTGGTTTCCCTGTCTGGCCATGTGTCTTGTCACCCTTCTGCTGCCAGAGCAGTGTTTTGAGTATCCAGTGCCAAACAGGTACATTTGAGCTACATCACCAGCTGTTCTTTAATTCCCCTCTCTGCTTTTTTGGTTCTAATGAGACCATTTAATAGTTTAAACCACCTGAAACTAGGAGCCTTGTTATAGGACTCCACATGGTGAGGAAGAGATTTCTTTGAGCGTGTAGGGTCATGGAAATATATGTTCATGTGCTGGTATATCCGGTGTATTCCCTTATTTCTTTTCAAAAATGAGCAAGTGATAGTCAAATTCCACTTCCTTTGCATGTTATTTATCTTCCCACTCTTGAACAGAATTCGGATTGAATCTGTTGTCCATTAAGTGTCTGACCACAGGTCATTCCAGATGAAGACAGCGGTTGCCTCTACCTGTATTTCCTGTTAGATTTGAACTGCCTAAACCTGGTTAAACCCGGTGCTTTCTCAAGCTGCAGTGTTGTTTGATAGCAGCTGTTTACAAGATTAATAGAAGTGGACAAGAGATGAAAAATGTGAAGTTGGTCATAGAAATCGCTGTTGGCTTTCAGAGGCAAACAGCTGTTTTGGTGGTGGGGAGGAAACAGAAATGATTCTTCATGCAAAAAGTAACATTTGCTAAAGGTGCAATTTTTATGAGCCTCATGAGATGATCTGAAATGGTGAGGACTGGCTAATGTGCTGCAGGCAAATGTATAAGGGTCGAGTTATGTGTACATATATATTTATTTTTTCTTGTAGTGTCATCTAGACTGTCACAGACATCCTCTCCTCAGTCAGGCTGCCAGTCCCCTTCCATCCAGGCAGGCAAAGTCATCTCCTCATCCCAGAAGCACAGCAAGAAGGCACTCAAACAGGTAAGTAGCCTTTCCTGGAGCCTAGTTTGGGGATTGCTGCAGTAAATTTGCTTCTCTGGTTAATCATCTTTCTTGATGAGATTGTGCTCTGCAGGGAAGTAACACAGGACTTCATGGCTGTCTCATGGTAAATAGAGGTTTGCTAAAACATTCCTCTCTCTTAGAGGTGATCCAAAATACTGTGCTATTTAGTTCTTTTGCTTTTTCCCTAAATAAACATTTGGACTTTCTTTAATTATTATTTTAGAAGATGGATATAAGGATGTTATTTCTCTTCACCAAACCTTTTGATGAGTGTGCTTAGCTTTCTACAGCCTGTTTTATTAAATTGAAAGGGTTTTGGGGAAAAAAATTAAATGCACTGATTTCTTCCCCTGGCTAGCAGTGTATTTTCCCTTCCTAGGAGTTCTGTGGCTATTATAGGTTTATAGAGGTAAGAAGGGGAAGGAAAGTGCACTGGCTTTGCATTGCACCTCTGCTGGATTTAATGAAAGAAAGAGGGGGACCAATTATTTTCCATGCTTGAAGAATGACTGTTGTATAGATAGTGTTAATTATGTGCATGCAGGGTAGGATGGGTGAGTGTCTGCACTTCAAATGATTTGTTTCTCCTAATGAAACATGCAAGATGAATTAGTCCCCCAAGTGTCTTATTTGCAGGTGTTTCCCCAACTGCATTGTTTAATTTTGCCTGATCCTTAGGAAGGAAATGCTTTATCAGGGTTAGATTTACTCCTTGGTAAAGCAAAAATCTGTAAGGAATTATGAATCAAGATGCATAGGAGGTGCTAGTCCAGGGATTATAGAAGCGTGTCATAGACAGATGAAATCGTGATGTGTTCCAGATAGGATTTACCTTTTCTAGCCCAGTGTATTTTTCTGAGTTTCACCAGCTGAGAAGCAACATTTGGAACGGCATTCAGGTGATAGAGCTGCCTGTGGCCTTGGGAAAGGATCTGCAGTGAGAGAGAAGAATGAACTAGGGCACATTATCAAGGAGAATATTATAGTGGGAGATAAGGCAACTGAATAAACTGGAGCTTTGTTTCTAGCAATAGGGAGTTGAGTTGGTGTCAAACTGAGATGCTGGCTTTAGGGAATTTTTCTTTTCCCACCTGGCTGTTTCTTGACAGAAGCATCAGTGTTCTGATGATGTTGCTTGCTGCTGATGGCTGCAGTAAAGATGTGAGATTGTGTTCTCACTTTAGGCAGATTTTTTTTCCACTTGCATTTAAATCCTCACAAAATAGCGTTAATTCAGCAAGATATTAATTACACTCTTTGCTTTCCCCTCCTCATCCAGCCTTCTTTAAGCCTGGCTGTCAATCATTTCTCTCCAACATCCGCAAAGACTCTTCTCTTTCAAGAGAGTGATCAAACAGACTGCGGGTTTGTTATCAAAACTCTTTCTTCTCCTCTTTGTTTTCTCTGGTCTGTAGGTCCCTGTTTCACAGAAGGGGAAGGGACCTCTGCCGAAATGCAAGCTACATTTCCAAACCTACACTCCATCTAACATTCCCTTCTCTTTTCCAGCCTCTGTCCTTACATGCCTAATAATTTTCTGCTTTTCATGTCCAAATTCCCCATGCTACTGCTCCCACCAGCTTTCCCTCAGTTTTTTATTCATTCCCTTCTCTCTGCTTTCTCACTCCTCTGCTCCTCAGCTTTCATACTCTTGAGATATCTACTTCCTGAACATCCTTATTCCAGTGCTGAATGTAATGAAATATGTCAGTGAGTTCCAAAATGTAGATGGTCTTCTCAGTTTCACTGTTAATCTCCTTGATTTGGGGGAAAAACCAGAAACCCTGAAAGAAAAATGAGGAACCACATGGAGGCCTTGATGTCTACATAGCATTTCTGTTTGCACTTAACACTTGTGCAGCTGTCTATAGGGCAAAAAGCTATTTCTGATGGTCATAGAATCACAGAATGCTTTGGGTTGGAAAGCACCATCCAGTTCCAACCCCCTGCCATGGGCAGGGACACCTTCCACTAGGCCAGGTTCCTCCAGGCCCTGTCCCACCTGGGCTTGAACACTGCCAGGGATGGGGCAGCCACAGCTTCTCTGGGCACCCTGTGCCAGGGCCTCAGCACTCTCACAGGGAAGATGTTAAACAGCACCGACCCCTGAGAGGCACTGCTTGTCACTGGTTGTCATCTTCTAAAGTTTGCTCTAGTTTTGGGTCAAATTAAAAACCTTGCATGCCTAAATCATTGCTTGATTTTAGTTCAAGTGGAATTCTGCCATTTTGGTAATATTTCATATGGTCAAATATTTTGACATATTTCACCTTTTCCTAAACACGGTTGCCACTGTGGTCAGGAAAAGTTAAAAAGAGTAGTTAAAATGAGGAAATACAGATTGCAGGAAGGAGACAGGTGTTATAAATAGAATAGTAGGAAAAACACAAGATACTGAGTGAAACAGGAATTCAGGAAAGCTTTCATATTTTTAGTTTTCTCTGAGACCTAGATTATTAGCTAGTGTGCACTGGAGAAGATGGCTGGTTGGGCTCAGCCCTCCTGTCTTGAGTGCTAAGTAATTATAATTCTACTGGAGGGAAGAGAGAGCAGATTTCTGAGTGAGAACTTTTAACCCTGGGACACCTGCTGTTGCTATACTGACAGCGAGTATCAGGTTCTTGAAGAAATAAGGGTCATGATTTAGTTCATAAGCATATCAGAGTTACAGCTGTAAAATACAGATTAATAGTATGGCATACACTGATGTGCCATACCACACACTGTAGTAAGTAAGTGGATGGCTGCATTCCTTATACTCGTTTGGAAGAATCCTGAGCTAGAGGTTTGCAGAACCTGAATCTAAATTGGTGGACACGTCAGTGCTTATCCTGCTGGAAAGATTAAACAGTGATGGGGAGAAACCCCCTTTGCTACTCTATCACCTTTTTCATGAAGGAGGGAGCTGTACAGTAGTTTCTTCCCTATTAGGTGGATCCCCCCTGTTCCAATGGGTTTTTAATACCATGGTCAGAGTCTGTGGGCCAGTGAAAAACAAGAGGCTCAGGAGCAGCTCCTGGTCCTGCTGTCATCACCACTGTCAGCCATAGTGGAGCTGATGAGGAGGAGTGTGCTGGGGGGACACCAGTTTCTTTGTTTAAATTGCAATTAAAGCAGGTGCTGATGGTACCAAGTGGTGCCGTTTTGATTTACACTCTTTCTGAATTTACTCTTTTTAGAGTAAAGTGGTGGTTTCCGGCCTCCACAGTGGGGTTTACCTCAGAGCTGCCCTTTGTGCAAACACACCTGTGTGCTCAGGAACATTTTCCTTCCACTGCAGGTGGCACAGTGAGAACAACGGACAACCTGAAGGCAAACAGAAGGAAAATAACAAGCCCCTGATTTGAGCAGAGGGGGCATATGGGGCAGCACACAGAGGCTGAAGGAGAGCAGAGGGCTGGTGCTGGTGGAGAGGTTGCTATGCTGGGGGCTCTGTGAGACACTCTGCTGCTCCAGGTGTCCCTGCCCGTGGCAGGGGGGTTGGAGCTAGATGAGCTTTAAGGTCCCTCCCAACTCAAACCATTCCATGATTCTAAGTATACAGCAGAATTTTTAAATGGGAAGCAACAGGAAATGTGCTGTCTATATCTAAATGAATTGGCCTGTTAACTAGAGATCATCACTGTCTTAATAATGCAGTTAGATCCAGGAGAGAGAATACTTGATCTGTTGTAATTTATTCTGCTGTTAAGTTTATTTGGGTTTGGATTTCATTTTTTGAGAACAAACACTTTGGTTTGGGTAGATGCTGCAGTCTAACCCAGTGCCTTGTTTGTGCCTTCTCAGTTGAGTCATGGTTGCCTTAACAGTCTTTTCTAAAGCAAAGGATTTTCTTTTCTATTTTTCTAAAGCAAAGGATTTTATTTTCTTACTTTTAGTGTTTAAATGTTTCTTACTTTCAAAATTATCAAAGTCTTTCCTAATGGCCCGTTGTTTTAGTACTAGTACTAGTTACTTGTTTTAGTACTAGGTACTAGTTACTTCTTCAGAAGACAGAAATTAATAGCATGATGGTACCTTTACTTTGAAGTTACTTATATAATTACTTCTTGAACCACCTCCAGATTTGGAATCCCCTAGAGAATGAAACAACTCAACCTAGATGTTCTACAACCATTAATTTTTTCCTTTAGATGCCAAAGGTAGGAGATCTGTCTGCTTGTAATAGTGTATTTAAATAGCCAGTATCATATTTAAACAGATGGTATTGCTGTCCCGTGTGAACTGAGTGTGTTTGGGAAGTCGTTTTTCACTTTTGACGTAGTTAGAATCAGAATCCAGCTATCAGTTGCTGTAAAACAAGCGGCTTGTACTGTGTACTAATAATTTCTAAGACTATTTTTAATTTCATTTTGGTCCTGATCTTCTGTCCTCTTCCACAGGCCTTGAAGCAGCAGCAGCAGAAGCAGCAGCAGCAGCAATGCAGAGCAGGCATGCCTGTGTCGTCTAACCAGCACGTCCTTCTGAAGGCTGTCAAGGCAGCCAGCGACTCCACACCTGCAAAATCCGGTACGTGCAACGACACCTCTGTGTGCTGTATTACTGCTGGGTCTCTTCAACTGGCCTTTTATTGTTTGTAGGGGATGAGAAAAGAAAGTGCTTTTTTTCTGACAGTGTTCTTTTTGTTTCTGAAATAGCCTAGTTTCTGTGTCCCTGGTTTTGTTTTTATTTGGAATTTGTTCAATAGATCTTGAATAGAATTTACTCTGCCATTGTGTGGTGAAAAGCTTCTTTTTTGTGATAAATGTGTTCCCTGTAGCTGCCTGTACGCTGTGGTCAGGTAGTTCTCATGGCTAAGCAAATGAGGTAGTTTTTCTCTTTGTATTTATGTTTTTCGAAACGGGCTTCTCATTCTGTAGCAAGTCTTTCATGTCTTGTTCCAAAGATGTATTCTCTGCTCGGAAAGATCCCCAAGAGGCTTCCAGCATTTATGCTGCATTAGAAATTGAGATCACTGCTCTTATTCATTCAGGAGCGTTAGTTCTCTTTCCACCAGCAGCATTTCACTAGTTATCATAAATTTTTGGCAATTGCTTCCAGCTAGCTTTCTCTGGAGACTTTTCAGGGTAACTGATTGCCATAATCTTCTGGTTCTGTGAGCCTGATTCAGGTTGTTTTCTTTCAGATGCAAGAAGTGCCTTTGTGTTTGTATAGGGCAATTTTCAGGTTGTACAAGTAAATGACTTAGTAGACTAATGCCATTATCATTTTATGAAGCCGCAATTTGTCAAGTCATCTATTTGGGCCTATAAGGATGCTGGGGAGGGACTCTTCATTAGGGACTGTAGTGATAGGACAAGGGGTAACGGGTTAAAACTTAAACAGAGGAAGTTTAGATTGGATATAAGGAGGAAATTATTTCCTGTAAGGGTGGTGAGGCACTGGAATAGGTTGCCCAGGGAAGTTGCGAATGCTCCATCCCTGTCAGTGTTCAAGGCCAGGTTGGACAGAGCCTTGGGTGACATGGTTTAGTGTGAGGTGTCCCTCCCCATGGCAGGGGGGCTGGAACTTGATGATCTTCAGGTCCTTTCCAACCCTAACTGTTCTATGATTCTATCTGTAAGCATTGCCTTTAGTGGCTCTGAACCACCTCCCAGATCATTGAGCACCAAAGCAGAACCATGGGCCTCTGAAATGCGACAAATTTGGCCTGGTGACCTAGGTCCAACAGTGCTGATGGTACATGGGTTGAGAATGCGTAATAGCAGAGTAGGTCCTAGTAGGACCTCCAAATCAAGAGGATGTGTCTTTGTGTTCATTGGACTGGGTGGTATTTTCTTCACTGGTTTTGCCTAACCTTGGGGAATGTTGACTTTGTAAATGCCTTGTGGCAAACAACACATTGTGAAAACGACTCATTTTTGTTTAGTTTTGAGCCAGGCTTCTTATACCTTTATTTCATTTCTTCTGATTATCAAACAGGCAATGAACAACTGTTGTTTATTCAAAAATTTTGCCACTCGTGACTTCTGTAGACATCTTCAGTCTAAGGAGTCCCACTGTGATTTCTCATTCCTCATATGCAAAGCTCTGTGAGAATGAAAACTGTACATGGTGTTCAGGGTGCAGGACACGTTCTGCGTTTGTATAGCATCATTTTGGCAGTCTACATTTTGTTCATCTTTTTTCTCAACAATGCCTACCATTCAGGTTTCCCTTTTTGACCCCATCAAAAGCAGGTGTTTTCCTACATTACAATTCTCAAACTCTTTTCTGAGAGTCTGGAAAAAGTTTTCTATTGTAGGGCCTGACAGCGTGTATGTAAGGTTAGGGAGTTCTTTTTTACATCACTTCATGTTTCTGTACAGTCAAGTTGACTTTCTGGGCTGGAAGTACATACTGCTGGGTCATGTTCAGCTTAATATGTTTTTCTTAGTCTGTAATCAGAATCTTCTCTTGCTTCCTTGGCTTGAAATCCAAGATTTCCTGTCCTATCCACCATGGACATAGAGCACAGGTTATTTGATTTCTTCTCCTTGCCACCTTCTACATAATTAGAGATGTTTCCTCATCTCATGCTGATTTTCTTTAGGATAAAATTCTGTCTGTGTTTTAGCGTGTTTGTTTATTCTCCCTTTCCAAACAGCTCTAAACAAATCCAAACCAAAACTAGACCAATATGGCCTGGCGTGCTGGTTGTGTATGGCTGGAATGTTTCTGTAACATCTGTTAAGCCATATGCATAGCTGCTGCTGGGCACCATATATCTGACAGAAAGGAGCAGGCGTGTTTGTCAGCTATACCTCATGCAGCATTTAATAGCAGAGCGAGTGTCTTGAGGTTGCCTATTGTTCCCAGTTCAGACTCTATTAAAAAAGTTAAAGGGCAAAAGGTTAATACCATCTTGCTTGATTGAAACTCAGTCCTAAACTGCTCTTGTGCCCTTTTCACCTTGGGTGGTGTGGCCTGAGAAGGAAGCCAAGAGGAAAACTATGTTTCTCGTGACAGTATGAAGACAATGCAGTGCCAGGTTTATGAGGTCTTCAGCATAAAATGACTGCTTAAATCCCTCCTGCTTTTTCTCGTCTAACCAGGATTAATTCTGAATGGTTGATCAGTGCAACAGGCAGATATTGGTCTGGAGGACCTCGTCTCCAGAGCTGCCTGCCCCCAGAGGAGTTGGATCTCTACTTGGGGAAGTAGGAACAGTGGAGACCTGAGAGGGACTGAAGCAGGATATTTTGTAAGATTGTTAGCTTACATAGAGTAATTATAAAATAGACTAATGGAGGAAGTAATCCAAACTCGTGTTACTTAAAGTACTTCAGGTATTGTTTGGTGTCTTTATTTTTTGTGATTATAATGAGGTTTTTGCCTTTCCTGGCTGTCTGGTGCTGGTAGCCTGCTAGCTGGCCATTCCCAGCCACAGAGTGGCAGGCCCTGGGGGCAGGAGGCACATCACCTTCTCTCCTTATTTTGGTTTCACACTTCCCAAACTATTGGTACATCCACTTCAGTCACGGCAGAACCATTTTCTTCCAGCACATCTATTTAATTTTTGTTACTGGGTTGGGTTTTTTTTCTCTCAGACTTCCCCATATTTTGCTGCTACACCACAGTTGCAAGGTATTGTACATTGTGCATGTCCACTCATGCAGCCTTTTTAGCAGTACTCTGAAAATATGTTCAAATCGTAGGACTGTTTATGTTGGTTGGGACGTTGGTTGGGACCTTGGGAGGTCTCTTGCAGGTGGACCTCCAGCATTTCTAGGGGCCAGTCAGATCTTTGCAAATCCAAGTACAGAGGTGGCACAACCTCTCTGGGTCCCTGCTCCGCTGCAGGCTGTCCTCACAGGGATACATTATTTTCCTTATATCCTGGCTGATTCTTGCCTGTTTTTTCTTGTTCTCCTGCCAGGCACCACCGTCACAAGCCTGGCTTTATCTTTCTGCTGTCCTGGTAGGAACAGTAGTGACTACCAGGTCTCCTGCAATCTGCCTTCTTCTCCAGCCTGAAGAAGCCCCAGGCCCTCAGCCTCTTCTCGCAGGCAGAGAGGATAACGAGATACAGACTAAGTGAAACAATGATTAGTGCAAGTTGTTAGTGAGAGCCAGCATTTGTTCTGTTTGTGAATTAACCACATGTGTTGTGGAGTTTCTCTTTCGAGCTGTGGCACTCCAGCGCCTTTCCTTACTTGAGTGAGTGATGTTACTATAACATAAGCCTAGAGAGTGCAGAGGGAAGACCAGCTCATGTTCTTAATTCATCTCACTAAAGAGGAAGAGGGAAAGGAAGGCTGAGAGAATCTTGGGAAGAAGCTGTTCCCACTGGCATTAAAAAATCCTGTTGTACAAAAGAGAATGTGGGTGTCAGTGGATTGTGAGGGGAAATCAGAGTGATGAAATCTGTCTAGTTGGGCCAGTAGTGACTTTGGAGGAGGACACAAAAATATCCATTGAGTATTGGAAAGAGGAGGAGGAATTCCTGAGGGTGGTCTGGAAGAACAAAAGCTACACTTGTAGTTTAAAATTTAGAAAGGACACATGCAGTATGAAGAGATTTTTCCTGATCGTGAACTCCAACAGACACTAAAGCTGCCTCAGAAAGGAAGTTTTAACAAGATCATTACTGGACTGAATATAAATGAGAAGTAAGATGGGGCAAACTGGGAAATAGACTTAAACCATAAACAAAGTGATTGTCCTGCCCTTTATTTTGTGATAGTCTGATAGGTACAAAGGGCGCTTCTATTTCCACCCTGTTGGGACGCAAGTGCTACAAGAACAAAGGAGTATAAGTATCCTTGGAGTGCTTGTCCCTGAGCTGCTAAAACTAGGGTATACACATTAAAGAATCTTTATTTCAGCCCAAACAGATGTCTTGTGTAATACTTCTTTGTACATCCCCATGTTTAAATATTTCTGTTTCCTCTGCAGCTTGGGAAGGCAAGCAGTCAGATGGACAGTCGAGCAGCCCTCAGAACTCTACCTCTAGTTCTTCTCCCTCTGTTAAGCTTGATAACTCCTTGCCAGGGTTGGGGAAGAAACCATTCCAGAGATCTGACAGGCTCCACGCAAGTAAGATACTTACTTTTTTTGCTTACAGAGATTTGGTTGCTCTGATAACAGAACAAAAGCCTAAATAACAAAGCTGAGTAAAATGTGTAATTAATTGCATTGCTAAAGTGACTTCTGCACAGTTCTGGATGGTACTGCTAGTATGCTGTGTGAATTGGGATAAATAATTCAAACTGTATATATGCAAATAAGCCTTTTCTCATTTCTTACCATCAGGGTTTTCTACGTATGAATTTGCAGCTTGCTGTTTGAGAAGCAAAAAAGGACTTGCATTATTTAGCAGGCTTGTTAATGCACTTAAGAGGCTCTGATAACATTAAAAAGAAAAAAGAAATTCCTTCCCAGATCTTTATACTTCAGACTCCCCTGTTACTTGACATCCTTCCCATTCACAGAAGTTAGGTCCTTCTCAGGCTTCCAGACCTTTTGTGGTTTCTTTTACATACACCAATGGTGGACTCAACCTTGGTAAAACTAAGGGTATTCTGAGGTCTCTATCTATGCTATTCATCCTACATTGTCTTTGTCATTGGTGAAAACAAACACTTTTCAAAGCATGTTTCATTTGTCCTGTGTAATTAGGAAATTCTGTAACTTAAATAGATTATAAACCTGCAGAGCTGTTTCCTGAATGACTTCTGATGGAGAACACTTTCCCTAGAGAAACAAGCCTCCATGGCACTTATTTTATTAGGTTTTCTGAACTTAAAAGTAATTGCTATCATCCCTGATGTCAGGGGAGCAGGGTAGTACTACCCATTGTGCTAATAATGTGCTTTTAATCTAAGCTTTGTAATATGTGGTATTTTGCCAGTTACAGACAGTGGGTGCATCTGAAGGAAATAGAGCACACAGTGCAAATGCTGCCTTTCACAGCACATGCATGATGCTGGCTATGACATAAGGGTTAATGCTTGACTTGCTGGCTTTCAAACACAGAAAGAGAATAGTTACTCATTGTTACTGCTTTGTCTTCCCACCCAAGTGCAATGAGCTGGTGAATTTTTCTGAAATGCTTTTGCTAAGAACAAAGTAGGAAAGTCCAGGAAGAACTCCCAAGGAACAAACTGACCTTAGTGAGAGGCTTAAAATAGAAATCAATGTGACTAAAAGCAATTCTAGAAACCCTTCTGAAAAAGATTCCTTGCTGTTCCCCAGATAGCAGGATTCTACAGGAGTTAGGTCAGCTGACACAGGCTACAGTGGTATGGAAATTGTGCTGAAAAGAGCCTCCTGTTTTGTTTTGAACTGTATGTGCAAAGGTAAAATATGTTTTTAAGGTCAGGGTATGAAATAGATCACAGAGGTGGCATTCTGAAAATCTTGGGGACAGTGAACTCCAAAAGGAGCCTGGAATCCTCTCTCAGGTACAGTATTACATCTTGCTGGTTTGTTGCAGGGCAGCTGAAGAGAGCAAAGTGTGCTGAAATTGATGTGGAAACTCCCGACTCCATCCTCGTGAACACCAACCTGCGGGCGCTGATCAACAAGCACACGTTCTCCGTCCTGCCTACAGAATGCCAGCAGCGCCTGCTGCTGCTGCTGCCCGAGGTGGACAGGCAGGTAGGTCTATCTGTTTCTTCTAGGTTCTGCTGTGGAGGCAGGTGGCTATTTGGTGTCAGCAGGGAGCATCTGCAGAGGAAATTCAGACTAGACACCCAGACACTGTGTATATAGCTAATGAGGTAGGGTGCTGCTTCTGTGCACAATGTGGAAAACAATTGGAAAATCCTTCTCACTTTGATGTTTGGTGTTTGGGTGTTTGTTGCTACCAGAAAAAGATCTAAAGCCATCTAAAGATGGCTAAATCAATCCACACTCCCAGCTACAGCAAGAACAATGTTTCTGTTACACTGGACTTGCAGAGGGCCAGGAGTGATGGGCATGCAGCAGTTTTCATGTCTTCCTCTCTCCTGTCCTCACGTGGATTCTTCAGTACAGTATTGACCCTGCAGCTTCTTAGGCTGGTGCCTTCCCACAGACCACCAATACAGATGCTGCCACCTAGTTCCAGCCTCTTCTGCTTTTCTGGCATCAATGCTGTCAAATTCTGAATTTGGTAAAGTGAAAACTGAGTAAGTTTTCTATGGCATATTCACACTGTCCAGACTGCAGAGCAGGCCTGACCTGTGCCACAGAGCTTGAGCCCTGACCCAAAACACACAGTTAAAGGTACCAAGCACACAGTGTGCGGCAGCTGTGGAGACAGCTCATGTCTGTGGATTGTCTAAGATCTCTTTGCAAGTGAAGAGAGGAATTTAGAAAGGCAGAGGAGTATTTAGTGGGGAGAAGTAGGCTCCTTTGCTCTGGGAGTGCACAGAAGAAATGGTGAAGTTTTTCACTGAGCTCTCACTAAACAGTCGGTGATAACAGGAACATGAGTTACAAGGGGGTAAGAACTCAGCTTTCAGGCCTGAAAGAACACCTAAGAGAATCTTTTGGTAGGACAGCTATTTCAACTCAGCTGGACCTGATGAATTTCATCTGATGCATGAAACAATCTCAACATTGCAGCAGGTTTTTTAATCAACTTGGAGAAGGCAGGGATGATACTGAGAGATTAGAAAAGATTAAATGTTGCATGTAAAAAGAGAAAAATAGAGTTGGGGAAGTGAAGTTCAATCTGTTTGTGCTCAATACCAGAAAAGTTGCAGCTAGAACACGGATGCTTCCTTCCTTTTACCTTACTTGTGTCATGTTAGTCTTCAGTATTCCTACCCCAGCTGGCTGGGAGCTTCTGAGCAAAGCAGGAATCTGCTATGCTACTCAGTTGTAGGAGTGTCAGTTCAGATGCCTTAACATGTGTGCCTAGAGCCATTTTAAATGTTCTTTAGATAGCAAAGCTGGCTTCAAGATTCCACTCCAGATGGAAGTCTTCCATATGTCCTGTCTCAGGTCTGCAAGTCCCTTTAAGATACTTTCCTGTGTGATGTTCAGATCAGTACTAGATGCCTGCATTTATGCACTTCAGTCACTTCCTCAGAGTCTGTCTCAGCTGCTTACTCAGGGCTTCTCTTATAGAAAGTGGAACTCCAGTTGGTACACTCAAGAGCTTTTTGAGCACATGCAGGTGTCTGCTTCAGCCTGAGCTGAACCAAGTCCCTACCTCCACACACCCAGTTGACTTGACCACTATAGACTGTGAAGGGACACCAGCCTAGATGGAGATGCTAGATGGAGCAAGACATCCATGTGCAGTAAAGTGTTACCCATCTCTGGCCATGCTGCTCTCCTGGCTCTCACACAGTGTTAATAATATCTGTGGTCTGGCAGCTGCACTGTGGTCTGCTTTAGAGAGGATGCTGCCCTGAGCAGACAGTGTTCCTTTGGAGCTAGGAGGAGTTCTAACTTTTTACATTGTCTCATAAATTCTGATCTTCAGTCAGCATTCACTGGGGACTTGTTAGTCCAAGGCTGATTCAGTAATATTTGAAGCAATTGTTTTTTAAGTCCTGTGGCCTTTGTAATAATTAGGTATGTGTCAGAATATGATGTGATGGAGTTTGCAGCTGGAGTTTACTGGCAAGAACCTCACAGCAGATGGTAGGACATTTCTGCCCTGGCTTTTAACTTTAATTGTCCTTAAATTGAATGAGAATTTCACTGAGAACAAATGTTGACTAACCCTATAACATTGCTTGGCTCCTGAGAGACCAGATCTTACATTTTGCTGTAGTAAATCTCCTAGAGCAGCCCACCACATCAAGTGGTGCTGCATGCTTTATTGCATGTCAGTCTTCACTGTACTAAAGAGGAGAAGAGGCGAAGGCGTTGGACATGCCAGTTGTGAAAGGTTGCCTGTCTGCTGTGTGTTGCTTGTCAGGGACTCAGTCTGAGCTGCTTCAGCTGGTTTTTCTTCAGAGGGGAAAGCAGCCACTGAGGCCTGACGCTACCAGCCCTGTGGTAGTTGACTGCCCTCCAGCACAAGGAATGGGCAACCCCATATGTGCAGCACAGGATAGTCATGTCAGTTCTGCTCCCTCTAGTCAATCAATAGGGTTTGGGACTAGAAAATAAATCTCTGCTTTTGTAATCCATACAATGGCAGCTTCTAACTTAAAAATCTACCAACTGTATCTTACCCATAAAACCTTCTATTAGGTCAGTTCCATAATTTTCATTACCTGCACCACAAACACTGGCTCAGGGAGAGCACAGATTCTCTGTCAGTCCTTCTGGTGAAGGTTTCCTGCACAGTCTCCCAGTGTAATCAGGTGTAGCTTGCACTGGGACAGCTGGATTTTGCTTGTTCGTTCTGATTTATTAGGCAATAAATGGAAGCACATCAGTTTTGCCCACGGCAAGTTTTTGCCACTAACTGAACCATAGATGTATTTTTGTTTCTGGTGGAGAAATTCCACATTTACTTCTGTGGAATAAAGAGCAACAGCAGATTTCATGTGTGTTTTACTACGCTGGTTATCGTTTCCCACTGCAATTGTTCCAGCCTTGGCCTCATGCTTTCTCATTTATGTCCTGCTCCATAGCATGACTGCCCTATTTGATTAACCATATTTCAGAGACACCAAATGGGTTTTAAGCCTCATTTGTCCATTTTTCCTGAAGCATCTGTGGTTATGATTACATACAGTTCAGGTGTAATGTAAAAGTTACTTTTATACAACACCTCTTATGTCCTTGCTTTTCCCTCATACGCTTCATGTCCATGAGAAGGCAGCAGAGCTGGTGCTTTGGGTGGTAGGCAGCTCATTCATTCTACAGGGGAAAGGGCAGCTGAAGGAGCTTCTCAGAGGCTGTGCTGTTCAGTTTCCATGTGCTTCTCCTTGCCACCTCTACCATCTGCTGCTTATGTGTGTTTGTGCAGCTATAGAGGATGGGCTGAGGCAAGGATGAGGAAAATCTCCCACAACCTCCTGGATCCCAGCCTTGACTATGGCTGCAGGTTTTCTCCTGCAGTCAAGGCAGTTTCCAGAGAGATCTTTGGCAGTGTTGGGCCTCTTGCTCTGTTTTCAGATCACATATGATGAAATGTGACATTTGCTTTTTCAGCTAGTTAATATGTTTGCCTTGTTATGTGTTCCAGGTTGGGGCAGACGGTTTGATGAAGCTCAGTGGCTCTGCACTCAACAATGAGTTCTTCACCTCAGCTGCCCAAGGCTGGAAGGAGAGGTTGTCAGAAGGTAAAACTTCCCCAGACAATGATGCAGAACTCTTAGAAGGCTTTCAGCTAGTGAATGTTTTGGGGAATGTGTGAAAAAGATTTCCTGGAGAGGTTGAAGCACTGGAAGGAGTTCCCAGGTAAAGACAGCTGTAGTCAACACAGGCTGAGAGCACATGCAAGCTCAAAACCATGTCATCTCAAGGTCATAGAGGGGCTGCAGTAAGGAGTTCACTTTTGAACTTAGCATGTACAAAAATTATAGAATCATAGAATCGTTTGGGTTAGAGGGAACCTTAAAGCTCGTCTAGTTCCAACCCCACTGCCACAGACAGGGACACATTCCTCTAGACCAGGTTGCTCAAAGCCCCATTGAAAAATGAGCAAGTCTCTGAAAGAGATGAGACAAGAGGGAAAAATGTGTTTAAAATAATAGTGCGATGACTGTATAGCTGTCTTATTCTGAAGTGGTGGTAGCTAAATATAGCCCACTGCTGAGCTCAGTGGAGAAGGTAAATCATGTTCCCCAAGTAATGCACTTGGTCATCAGCAAAGCTGTTTGGGCACAGCTGGTGTGGTGAAGTCCTTTGGGCCAGTATTTTTTATATAACATAACATCAGATATTTACTAATCAGTAAGATTCCTGCACCTTCAATGGCAGTTTGCATCTTGAACTTAGAGGGGCTTAATTCCATCATTTGATCAAATCACATCACCAGAAGTGCAGTCATGCACTGTGGGCAGGGACCATCTCCACAGCATGCATCTGACTGCAGGCTACCGGGCAGGTTTTCATGTGCTTTGTGCTCAGGGCATACCTGAGCTTATGACAGTGTGTGCTTTTAGCTGAAATGTCCCAGCTGGGAAACAAAGGATCACCGCAGCACTGGAAATCCAGGAATTCACTGCTGTAACAGAGACTGTTTCAAAGGGCTGAACTTTGAACCCTGTTGCTATATTACTCTGAGTAAAGGCATGTGTTCTGCTGATTTTGATGCAACAGATTTTCTGTAGTTATTTACCTGACCAAATTTATATAGAAATATGAAAGGAAGTTGATGTATCACAGATTCTGTTTGGGCCCTCTGTACTTCTGCAATGAAAAGATGAGTGTCCTGATTTAATACTGACAGGTACCAGTGTGCTGAAAAGGGAGCCAAAAATTGTTGAGAAACAAACCCTGCAGTGGTGAAAGTATCTGATTTCTGTTGATCCTCTAATTAATCCCCTCTCTGGAGTAATTTTGGCAGGAGGCTTAAAAGAAAAAGACATAAGAAGTAAAATAGAAAAGTCTGGACACACATTGTGTGTATTTGTCTTGGCCTTTTTTTACTTCTGGATGCCCTTGTTTCTCTTTGATTCCTCTGCATTACTGCCATTGAGGTGGGAATGCTGGGGGTGTCTGCTGAGGAGGAATATGGATGGAATGGAGGAATGTTTGATAGAAATAACGTCAAGATGAGATTTATCTCATTTTAAAATATTCAGAACATGAGAATCTGGGTTTTATGAGTGCAGTTAGGTTACCAATGGAATTAACTAAGAATTGCCCTGAAAAACATGATGTCCTCATTGTCATAGTCAACCTTCTAGGATTCTGTTGGCTACCAGAGTGGACGCTCACAGGGATGGGAGTTACAACTGTCGGGCAAGAAGTTGTTGCCTGGAGCAACAGACAGCAGAGGAGCACTTTGCAGCTCAGGAGAGCTGAAGTACTGCAGGCAGGGCTGCAGTGTCACATGCTGTGAAGGGTTGTCTGAGACAGTGTGAGTGGGAAGGCTCCTGTGGTTACATGGCTTCATTTCATCTATACCCTTTTTTGAAGGTACCCTTTATTGCTTTTTGCAGGTGAGTTTACACCGGAAATGCAACTAAGAATACGACAAGAAATAGAAAAGGAAAAGAAGGTTGAGCTGTGGAAAGAACATTTTTTTGAGAGCTACTACGGCCAGAGGTAAGACCCTCAACTGTCTTTTTTTACCCTTTCATTGCCTATCCAGGTGTACCTGTTGCTCCATTTGTAGCATGCCCACGAATAAACACAATTTTTCATTAGTCCTGAAAGCTGACAAAGGCCTCCAGCTTCATCCAGCTGCTGCAGAACTGAGAAAACACCCAAGGGAATTATGTCAGAAGTGATGTGTTTGCTGTTGTGATTTCTAATGCTTTAATAACCAGCGTAGAACTGGTTTCCTCTGGCAAGGATGTCCTTTACACTTTACATCTTAACTTTTCCCACTCCTTACTACAGTACTTTGACGCACACCTTGTAGGGTTCTTCTAGTACCAGGATCCCCAGGTATGGTGGGGGTGCATACTCTACCCTGCAGCAAATCATCTGCTACGCAACATCTCATGTGTTTCTTCACATCCAGTCAGACACGTGTTTGGTTAAATTCACACACATTCCACATTCCTCTAGAGAACGCTTTTCAGTGTTCCTTTCTGCAAATATCAGTGTATGAGCTGGAGTCAGATGAAAGCTGCATGGGGTTGTTTGAGTGCTGTAGCAATGTGCCTGTGGTGGCTAATAATGGGAGCCTTTCTTGTTGGCCAGATGTCATGGTTTAAGCCCAGCTGCCACGCAGCCCACTCGCTCACTCCCCCCCTTACTACCCCCCCGCACCCCGCTCCCAGAGGGATGGGGAGGAGAATCGAAAGAATGTAACAGCCCAGTAACTAAGGTATAACACAAATCACTGCTGCTACCACCAATAATAATAATGATAAGGGGAATAACAAGAGAAGAGAATACAACTGCCACCCGCCGACCGATACCCAGTCCGACCGAGCAGTGATCTAGCCCTTCCAGGTAACTGCCCCCAGTTCTACATCCTGGGCATGACGTGCTGTGACATGGAATACCTCTTTGGCTAGTTTGGGTCATGTGTCCTGTCTCTGCTTCCTCCCAGTTTCCCCTCCTCCCTGGCAGAGCATGAGACTCACGAAGTCCTTGGTCAGAGTAAACATTCTGACTAGCAACTAGAAACATCGGTGTTATCAGCGCTGTTCCTATGCTGAAAGTCAAAAACACAGCACCAGCTACTAAGGAGAAAAATGAACCCAGGACAGTATCCACCCCTTATTCCATACCATTCACGTCATGCTCAGATCCCACATTTTCAATATACCATCACTCTTATCTCATATATATATATATATATATATATATACATACACACACACACACTAGAGAGAGAGATATTCTTTAGTGCATGGACCAATCCCTATAAAGCTGCTGAGTCCATCCAGTCCATGATGTCAGGCTCCATCTCTTGTAACTGTCTTTCAGAGCAGGAAAGAGAGTGTGATGTAGTCAGTCTGCCACGCCTCCCCATATTTGTACTTCAGCTGTCATCCTCCATACCGGAGAGGCTTTAACAGCTTGGCTTGCTTAATTGCAGCACGTTTCACACTCATGAATAACCAGGGTAATAGTGTCCATTGCTAAGTTCACCCCTTGATCATGAGTCCATCTCTATGTTCCATCTCTGCCCTGATGGTCTGAAGTGTCATGGGCCCACCAGGCTCAAAATAATTCACCATCCCCTTCAGCAGTTCCTGGAACTTGTCGTCGGGGTCTCCATACAGCTGCCTTCCATCTACGACGCTTCAAAAGCACTGAAGAGGCCCAGTGGACTAGATACTCGCCCACACTGTCACACACATCCTGCTACTCATGACTGTCCAGCCTCAGGGAAAATCTCTTGGTCCTACTATATTGTCATCTAATCCTAAACAAGGCCCAAACATGACTCCGCTTAATTTTCGAGATCAGAAAAACCAGGCAGGGATAAAACACACTCTGTATGTGTGCCAACATGCTGATCCCCATCACAATCAGGCAGGTCTCAAAGGTACCCAAAGGCCATTCAAAACCTTCAAAACTCTCAAATGATGCTGCTGTGCTTGTTACTGGGGCTGATATAGCTGCTGTGCTTGGACCTGGAGTAGCTGCGCTATCTGCTGCGGTCAGAGTTTGAGTAGCTGGTGTACTGGTTGCAGGGGTGTGTGGGAATGTCTCCCTCATAGGCTGACCACCCGAGGAGGGGAAAAAAGATATGCAATTGCTATACACTTCTGTTATATACCTCCCAAAGTACAGAGGTGGTGACCACACTGGGAACACAAGCCAGATGAGTTTCAGATCAATGAGTCTCTTGAATTACAAGTCATTACCATAAAGTACAATGAAACAAGAACCTTAGCCCAAGGCCCCCAGCTGATAAACACTAAGACAGCAAATACTGGCTGTAACGTACAACATGCTGAAACTGTGAGATCAAGAGCAACAACTTTGAGAGCCAATAAATCAGCATTGTGACAAGTGACTATGAATGCTTATCACAAATACAATTAGACACACCTCAGTCAGATATGTCGTTATCTCAACCCTTCATGCCCCACGTTGGGTGCCAAAAAGAATGTCGTGGTTAAAGCCCAGCTGCCATGCAGCCTGCTTGCTCACTCACCCCCTTTCTCCCCCCCCCAGCTCCTGGAGAGATGGGGAGGAGAATTGAAGGAATGTAACTCCCATGGGTTGAGATAAGAACAGTCCAGTAACTAAGGTATAACACAAACCACTGCTGCTACCACCAATAATAATAATGATAAGGGAAATAACAAGGGAAGAGAATACAACCGCTCACCACTGGCTGACTGGTACCCAGCCCCACTGAGCAGTGATCTAACCCTTCCAGGTAACTGCCACCAGTTTATATAGTGGGCATGACATGCTGTGGCATGGAATACCTCTTTGGTCAGTTTGGGTCAGGTGTCCTCTCTCTGCTTCCTCCTGGCTTCCCCTCCTCCCTGGCAGATCATGAGACTCACAAAGTCCTTGGTCAGAGTAAGCATTACTTAGCAACAACTAGAAACATCGGTGTTATCAGCGCTGTTCCCAGGCTGAAAGTCAAAACTGTAGTACTGCACCAGCTACTAAGAAGGAGAAAAATGACTGCTACAGCTGAACTCAGGACACCAGATTAACTTGATTTGAAGCCTGGAAAATTGGTATCAGGATAGAGGACTAGATCTAATCTGTATTCCAAGTATTTAGCTTAGTTGGGTTTAAACTTTGCTGTTCTGTTTAGTTCTGTTTCATGTGGAAGTACCAACAGTACAGAAAACTTTCAAGGATCCTGGCACAGAATTAGATGTGTGAGACACATCGATTTAGGGTGTGGTATGTAGAGAATCCTCACAGTTTTTGTGAGGATAATATGCTTTTTGCAAGAATGTTTCACAAAATAAAAGATCTGTTTTTCTTGATAGTTCTGGGCTAAGTCCTGAAGAGTCCAAGAGACTGATAGCAAACACCGGCCCTGCCGAGACAGAGACTGAAAATCTAGCAGCTGAGCCACCAAAATGCCCGCCATCCTCTCTCATCCCACTCAAAGAGGAGATGACCTCTCCATTAGAGTCTAAAGCACAAGCGGTCCAGGAAGCACCAGTGATGAAAAAAGGAGGGGAGGAAAGAAAGGAGGACGTGCAGGCAAAACCAGCCAAACCTGCAGAGGCCTCAGTTCCCCCTGGTGGGTGTGCAGTGAAACCCAGTGACCATTCCCTCCCTTTAAAAGAGAGAGTTCAAGGAGAGTCCATTCAAGAGAAACCACAAATTGCCAGCAGTCAAAAGGCAGACGAAGAGAGAAAACACCCTGCCTCAAAGGAAGTGCTGGGCAAAGAGACTGTCAGTGCCTCAGGTGTGGCCCCGAGTAAACCAAAGAGCCCCGAAGCAGGTGAAGTAGTAGTAAACATGAAAAGCCCTGTGATGACTCCAGAAACACCAGAAAAGAAGCCCCCAGTAAATGAAGACATGGAAGTGAGCGTGGAAGCCCCTAAGAGGAAGTCAGAGAGTAGGGAAGAAGCTCCAACCACTCCTGAAAAAAAGCCGCGGATCATGGAGACCTGTCAGCACCACCAGGCATTTCGGAGCCAGGCACAGCCCTTTCCTGCTGCAGGGACCCCGGTGCCACGTGTACCCCCACTCAAGGTAAAGGGAAACAAAGGCAGCTCCATAGAGCAGGTCGTGGCTCAGCTCAGCTCAGCTGGTGGCTTTGTCAGTTCAGTTCCAGTTATGTGTGTAAATTGTGTTACCCACTTACAGCGATGGAAATATTGGATCCAAAATTATGTCAGTGGTTTGCTAAAGGAGATCTGCTGGCTGGGTAATCAGCATGACTTAGGTATCTCTTATACACGTGCCTCTGTTGAAAGATCTCTTGGGCCAGAAGCTCAGAGAGTAGTGCAAAAGCCCAGGGCAAAGCATAACAGAGTACTGCAGTTCCCAGTGGAGACTGGGGAGGAACTGCAAGACCACAAGAACAAAGCAGTTTGTAGCCCAGAGGTGCACAAAACTTGGCAGGTGTGTGAGTATCCCCAGTACGGTCCACAAAGACTGTTAACTGTCAGCAGCTTCCTCTGATCTATCAAGCCCAGGAACTAAATTTTACCTGTGTTTAAAGAAAGACCACCTAGAAGTAACACAGTTAGCATTTATACATCTGGATACGGCATAGCACCTAGAAGTAACAGTTATCATTTATACCAGCTGGATACGCATACCACCAGACTAGGTTGCAGGAAAAGACCATTTCAGGGAACACCTCCATTCTAAAAGCCCTTTGGCTGCTGAGTCTTAATGAGAACCTACATGGGAGAGGAGTCAGGCAGTTGTTCACCATGGGGATAGGGCAGGAGGAAGGAAGCATGCAAGAACCACTCCGGTCTATGGCCTGCACAATGCACTCCTCTGGCATTGAGACCCAGGTGGTGGGAGCACACACCTGCAGCTGCGCTGCCAGGAGGTGTCCTGCTGGTGAGTACCTACCTCATCCACTCAATCCAGGTGTTCCATCCTCTTCCAGATAATGATTGCAAGACTGCACAGCACGGGTACCCCTAATTGTTTCTTCAGCGGTGTTATTTATACTCAACAGTGCATGGTAAATGGATGAACCAGCACAGAGAAAGTTTTGCAGTCATGTGTGACTGTGACAGGAGAAGTTTGGTTTCTGCAGAATAGAGCCTCTGCTTTTTCTGCCAGAATGTGCTCTGGTTAAGATTCATCTCCCTCATCTGGGGCTTTAGGCAGAAGTTGTAAATGCAGAACTGCTTAGTTACTGTATTTCTCGATGTCCTAAGAATTCTACTCTCCTAGTAAGACTCCTTTATACTGGGAAGTACACAAACACATTTTACAAATGGTTTGTAATTCTCACCATGCTAATAAGTATAGCACAGGGGCAGGAAAGCATTAATGGAACTCATTAGTGAAACCAAAACTGGGAGGAAACTGTCAATAAAAGATACTTGGAATGTCATACAGGAAGAACAGTTGATCTGCCAGCATAATAAAAATGGGATTTAATTTAACAATGGAGTGAATTGAAGGATGGTTGCAAATAGTTTCCCATGTGAGGTAGAAAAGACAGATGTGGTGAGTGGTTACTCAGAGGAAGGAAGTCAGCAGATACATGGGAACAAATGTAACAGTAAGGTGTACTGGGGAAACAAGTACAAATCTACAGGGGTGGAAGAGACGTGCAGAATCCGATAAAAAGCCGATAAAAGAATATAAATGACATATGAATAAAGTATTAAATGCAGAATAAAGGATAATAGGTGTTGAGGTTTGGAACACCCTCACAGATTTTTCTCTTTTGGAGTAAGGGTGTATGATGTAGTAGCTCACAATGGCAAGGGCTGAGCTTCCCGTCTGAGTTACCAAGATTGTAAGGACTTAAAAACAGGGGTGCCAGGCATCAAAAGATCATGCATATCTCTTACTATTTATCTCAAGCGAGGGAGCGAAGGGACTTCTCCAAAGGGATTCCTCCAAAACTACAACTGTTTCTCTTAAGACCAAACTATAAACGCCTCTTAAACACAGATTAAATGGTCCTCTTGTCTCAGCTGTGTTTTTCTCTTCCTCTGTTTCAGATTCCCGTTTCCAGAATCTCCCCAATGCCATTTCCTGCGGGCCAGGTCTCTCCCAGGGCACGTTTCCCAATCTCACTTACCAGTCCAGGAAGACGGGGAGCCAGAACTTTGGCAGACATCAAAGCAAAAGCCCAGCAAGCCAAGGCTCAGAGGGCAGCAGCCGCTGCCGCCGCCGCCACCGCTGCTGCTGCTGCTGCCGCCTCGACAGGGGGGGCTGTCCCAGGGCCTGGACCAGGCGGTGGTGGGGGCCCACCGGGTGGAGGAGAGAAGAGTAACACAGCAGCAAGTGGAGCCACCCAAACTGGAACTCGAGGAAATGCACTGGAACTGGCAGGAACTGGAAGCGGGGGAAGTTCGAGAAGGTTTCTTACCCACTGCCCAGGGAGCTGTCCCCACGTGGAGACCCAGGCCCCAGACCAGGCAACCCCTCACCATCCTTCTAGAGCACAACTACAGCAAACTCCCGCCCTGCAGTCCAGAGCTCCAGCCAGCAATACAGGCACCGGCTCCTCCTCACCAGCAGCAGCGGCCCTAGAGAATACCAACAGAACAAAACCATGCACCCCCAGTGCGACCATAAATCAGGTATCAGGCTCCCTGTGCGTGGGCAGCAGGGAAAAACGAGAGAATGCACCTCCTGCTCCAGCAGGCCCAAGCCAGGGCTGTGGGACAGCAGCAGTCCGGGATGGAGCAGCCTGCGTCACTATGGCCGCAGCAGATGCCAACACAAGTGTAACTAAGGTATCACCTACGGCCTTAGGAGGGACCAGCTTAGATGTTTGTAAAAGCAAATCTCCTTCCCCTCTGGTGTCTTCACTGACATCCATGAGCTCAGAAGCGCAGGCTGGAGGTGTGGTCACATCCACAACATCCGTCCCACCCTCTAATGCATCATCAGTGGCACCTAGCCTTAAAACTCATCCAAGTTCAGGCTCAAGTGGGGCCCTCCCAAAGCCAAGTTCCAGTATTCCTGCTAACAACCCTTTAGTCACGCAGCTTCTTCAAGGCAAGAACGTCCCTCTGGAGCAAATCCTGCCAAAGGCTCTCACCAAAGTAGAAATGAAAACTGTCCTGTTATCTTCCCATGAAGAAAAAGGGGCAGCTAGTAGCGCAGGTGTAGCTGGGAGCAGCACTGGAACCGAGGGTGGTGAAAGGCAATCGAGTTTACCCACACAACAGCTTGGGAAGGTCTTCTGCCAGAACAGGCCTCTGACTCACATTCCAAGGACTTTTCCACTCCCCTCGGGAAAGGACCCCAATGTTGACCAGCACCAGGGCCACGAGGCACTCAGCAAAACCGCGCAAGAGCAGATCCTTCAGACCCTCATCAAGAGGGTCCAGAGGCAGAATTTGTTGCCAGTCCTCCAACCCTCACAACTGAACCTCCCTCCCTCAGGTTTCCAGTTAGAAAACAGCTCTGCCAGCCAGAGGTTTATGTTAGGCTTCATGGGCAGGAGGACATCCAGGCCTGCCATGTCTGGTCATTATCTGCTCAACATTTCCACCTACGGTCGTGGCTCAGAGAGTTTGAGGAGAAGCTTCTTCTTGAACCCTGAAAACCGGTTCTGTCTAAACAGTCCTGCTGATGCTCCAAAACCAGAATTTGGGGAATGTGAGGAGGCTGGCCACGGCAGCAGCAGTGATGGAGATGCAGATGATGAGAGTACCGGTGATGAACATGAACAGACCAGCGTGAAAGAGGAGCCCCAGGCCTCACAGGTGTCTGGCCAGTGTGAAAAAGAGCAGGTCTCACATGGCATAAATTCTTCGGATTACAGCACCCTTGCTAAAAAGGGTGTAAAGGCAGAAGCAGCCACGTCCCAACAGGCAGCAGGCAACAAGGAGAACATTCAGGCGTTTGATGGAACTATGCTAGCACGAGACTTCATTCAGGCCGCTCAAGAGCAAGTGGCACATGCGATGAGGGGGAAAATGCACAGCAGCCCGGAGCTGTTCAGTACTTCTGTGCCGTCCTTGGACTCCGCGCCGCAGCAGCCTCCGCTGCTTTCCCCGCCGCACCCTCCAAAGCTCTCTGCGAGTGCTGCAGCGCAGCTCATTGGGCCCAGTTACAGTGGCACAATAAACGTCTCCACCTCCCCGGACGTGAACCAGGGGTCCCTCATGACCGGGCTGTCTGACTGCAACCAGTTGTCCAGTAGCATGGGGAACGTCATGTCCTTCTCAGTGACCGTAACCACCATCCCCACCAGCCAAGCTGTGAACTCTGGCAACCACAGTCAGACCATCCCTGTTCAAGCCTTCGCTGAAGACAGCAGCATGGAGGATTCCCCTTCCAAATGTTACTGCAGGTTGAAAGCCATGATCATGTGCAAGGGCTGTGGGGCCTTCTGCCATGATGACTGCATCGGCCCCTCTAAGCTCTGTGTCTCCTGCCTTGTGGTGCGGTAACGGGGACGGGAAGTGGGGAGGAGGAGAATGGCTTGATTTTGTTTTTGCTTTTGGAAGTTCATGGGGAAGAAACAGGAAATTTACTGCCTTGCACAAGAGACACGTTACTGAATCAGGAATACAGAGTAGAGTTCTTCTTTCATTAAAGAAAGAGCACCTTCTTGTACAGTGAGTCTAAATTGAGCTCAACTACATGAATTGTGACAAGAGTTTGCACTTAAGGAATTATGTAAATATGTCACATTATTTTGTTTAAAAATATTTTTTCAATCTTTTAGGAGATAAGTGTTTGACTTGTACTGCAGTTTCATTAACCCCAGCCTGTTCTCCGGCATGTTTGCTGAGCTCTGCTCTAGATGGGGGAACAACGCCCCCCCGGCAAAACCTTAGCCCGTTGTTGGTCTTCTCTTGACAAAGAGTAGACCAGGATAGTCAAGAAACACAATGTTTGTACTGACTGATGACAGAGCACAGAAGCAGGAGCTCTGCACGGGCTTGCTCGCCAGCTCTAAATCTAAGTTCACATTTTTTCAGATGTGGAAGGCATTAACGTTATGCCAGCCTTTCACTTTTGACCTGGCTGTTTCCGGAATGCATACTGGGTTGTGCAATATTTGCTGATGGGTTTGATTGGCATATCCTCCCCTCTTCAAGGGGTCAGTTGCAGTAACCTTGTTTGAAGGAAGGTAATGTCTGATTTCCTACTGGTAAAGACTGAAAAAAAGCAACTGTATTAACCATAGGATTCAAGAATTTCAGTCACTAAAACAACTCGGTGACCGTGATTATCAGTAAATCCCAGGAACCATTTAAAGCAGAGATCACAAATATGTGCTGAACTGCCTTTCATTTCAGGCTGTTGGGACTCAGCAGAAAGGTGCTCTCTGAGGCGTTTCGAGGGAGCTGGCAAGAGCCGTCCCACAGTCAAGAGCTGTGTCGGTGCGTGATGCGAGTAAGGTGCCCCAAGCTCAGTCTTGCTGCTTTCTGGGAAGCTTGCTGTGCTCCTCCAGACCTCCACCGCAGTCAGATGTCTCTCATTTCTATAGAGGATTTTATATTTAGCTATGTATAGGGAAAGGAAAACAAGTGTCTTGTTGGGTGGGCCTCGCTGTTGCCCACTGTGGGTGTCTCTTTGTGTTTTAACAGACCTAATCAGGCTCGACTCGGTGCGGATTTGCTCAGCTGAGGTTTGGGGTTGCGTGGGTCTGGGGAGGAGGCTGTGCCCCCTGCCTCAGCCCAGTCTTGGGATATCGCTAGTGATGCTCATCCTCACTTCCAGTGTTCAGGAATTCATTCAGTTTGGTTAATTGAAATGAAAGCCATTACAAAATGGTACTCTGTTCTCAACAAGTGGCGCCAGGCTGGCTAACGAAGCACATGCCAACCTGCCTTTTAATGTATCGCAACGCATCCACATCACATCGAGGACCTGTGTGGTGTTTCTCTTCCGAAACACAGAACATCAGGTTCGCTGATCACATCCAGTCCCATGTTGTCACTGTTGGGGGCGGGTGGGGGCCATACTGCATCTTGGTCAGGTAACAGATCTGTGTATGTTTTTGATGGAAAAGCACTGAATTCACTTTTAATCCAAAGGCCTTTTTAAGATGAAGCAATATAAACAAAATAGGTGGGACAGCTGTTTTGTGAGCAGGGGTCCTCAGCCTGCCTTTCCGCATTTGACTTATTCTACTGCTTTCCCCTTTCCCTTGTCTCACATTGGTAGAACCCGGAGATACTCCCCTGTGAAGCAGTGTGTTTTTCCAAGGAGAGGTGGTGATTTATTTGGTAACGATAAAGAATAGCGAGTTGCAGATTTAATCATAACAGAAGCGTTTCCTTCCCTGCCCAGCAGAGCGTGGCCCCCCTGGAGCAGGATTAGTGGGTGTGAGGTAGCAGGAGCTGCAGCGTTATCTTGATCTCCGGTTTGCTCATATTTAGTGGGGAAACCAGCACCCCTGGTTTCTAATTGCACATCACTGCTCAGACACCCAGCAGCGCAGAGGAGTCAAGTGTTAGAAGTAAAGTCTATATTTTTAATCCCAAACTGAAATCTCAAAAAGAATCACATAAAAAATTGCTGTCGTGTGCAGGCTGCACGTGTGCCCAGTGGTGGCTGTAGCTCAGGAAACACCCCACTGGTCTGTGTGTGCACGTGTGAAGGGGCAGAGCAGCAAATGTGGGTTCCTTCTGCTGTTGTTACCCTGTTGGTACCCTGTTTCTACCCTGTTGTGCTGTCATGGGGATAACTCCTTCCCTGGGTGGCCATGTCCATTGGCACCAATTTGGAGGGCAGCCATTACTGCCTGATTCCATCACTTCTTCTGTAATGGGAATTTCTGCCACTTTAAATCTTAGATGCAGTGTTGAAAGGTTTCAAACTGCCATCCAAGGGCAGTGCAGGACTGAGAGCAGGGTCTGTCTCTTATTACTGTGTCATCTAGGCCTGAAAGAAGTTACAGTAGTGTAATCCTTGGGCAGACACATCTATTCCTGTTCAAGACAGGTCTCCCAGTATAACCTAATTTAAAGACTGTTGCTAGTTACAAACAAAGTGAAAAAGTCATTCTTGCCTCAAATAAGAGTAAAGAGGTTTTGCTGGCATAATTGGGTCAATTCTGCTCATACCTTGGCTTTTATCAATGGGATTTTTCAAGGCTGCTTGAGAGGGAAAAGGAGGAGAAGATGCGGGAGTTGCAGGCTGTGATCTGCCACCTTGTCCTTGGTGCCCATGGGCTTTTCAGCCTGCTGCTGCTGCTGGGCCTGTTCCATTCTCTAACACAGTCACTGACCCTGGCTGAGGGGTTTCTTATTTCTCCCTTTAAATTGTACAGGATGAGGGTTCAGATGGCTCCTGCAGCTCCGGCAGTGGGGGAAGCTGCCCCTTCCGAAGCAGCCCTGTGGGAAGCACAGCAGCTTGGCTCTAGTGGGCCCCAGCTGGGATGTGTGGTGAAGATCCCAGTGGCTCCAGGCTCGTGTTGGGCAGCATAGGCATCCTGTGTGATGACTCGGACATTTGCCACTCTGTTCAGTGCCTTAGTTATCTTTTAATGGATCAGCACTTTGCTTGGGCTACTTTACTTCTATTTCTTTTTAAGAAAATAAATTCTTTTAACTGCATGTCTTTAACATATGCTATGAGCTACTAGGTGCAACTTGATGGAACCATCTCCACAGGTTTGCGAGTGGGCATTAAGTAGTTAGGAAATGGTTAGATGTAATGGGGCTCAGTGTAATAATCTCTGCAAGTACAGGTCGCCATTAACACCTTGAAGCCTTGGAGTGTTTTACACTGCTGGTTGTTGAATCATGTATTTTAGAAGGGGGAAATCCAGCAGCCAGTGTTCCCCACATGGCATCAGCCCCTGCTCCTGCCACATCGGTGCTGAGCTCCTCCTGGCACTCCCCACTCCTCCCATCATCTGACCTTCCCACTGTTCCTTCCAGATCGTCAACAAACCCGTGTTCATACAGGGTTTATAACTGAAACTACTGTCATGACATACTGAAAAATATTACTTCGATTTCCCCCCTCAGGTATTAATACCACTATAGTAAATGCCATCATAAAAAAAAACAGTGAGATAAAAGTGAGATAAAATGTTTTCAAAGCCTAATGTCAAACTATGTTTGTGGCAGTAAAAGCAACTTGAGTCAGAAAAGATGCTTGAAAGGGAGAATTTAAATCCAAGTTTCATCCAAGTCCTGCAGCCTGAGAACTAGACATACAGACTAAGCCATGGAGTTTAATTTCCCAGCGCAAACTCCCCCCACACGTATTGATGCAGTGGAGCAGTGAAGGCAGCTCTAAATGAGTTTGGGTGTTGAGGCTGATTGGCAGCACAGGGACCGGCTTTTGAGTGAAATTTTCATGTCCCCTCTTAAACCAGAAGGAAGGACCACAATGCCAGATGGACAGGCTGCTTGGCAAAGGTTACGGTAGTAAGGAACAGCTGATGGACAGCAAGTTCCTGGTGAAGTTACAGCCAGGAGCTATCCTCAGTCGTAACATTAGGTGAGTCTCGTTCAGGTGCAGAGACCATTTTGGGCCTGGCGTGTGCAGTGGTAGGTTTGAAGTGGGCCGAGGCATCTCTGGTGGGGAGATCCCAGAAGGGCGCCCTGCCCGCACATCCTCCTACCTCCCTGGAGGTAGATGGTCTCCAGCCCAGTGCAGAAGTGCCAGGATAAGCACATGACCTGTGGAAGGGCTGAGGCAGAACCCACCACTGCTGCAGGGGCAGGCTATGGCACACATCAGCACTGTAGTGTGGAAAAAAGGAAGGGGCTGGAGCGTCTCCACTGGAAGGCCGGCAGCTTCCTTCACTGGAACCCCCTCACCGGGGGCTCTTGGAGCCCTGGGGAAACCTTTCAGTCTCACTTGGGAGTTCTGCTTAGGCTCTGTTGTTTGAAGACCACAAGGTTGGCCCTCGGCACCTGCCTTTGCCTCCATGGCTCTCGTGGGTTTGGTAGGGGAAGGCAGGCAGATGCACACTGAATTACCTCTGGCAATGAGCACAGATGTATTGTGGCAGTGGGGCAGGTGCGAGGAGGCTGTTCCAGGCTGTTGCTGCCTCTGGCTGACCCATGGCCTGATGGTCAGTGTCCTGGCAGCCCTTGTGTTGCATGGGGAGAGCAGTGGAGTGCTCAGAGGGTGACAGCCAGAATTCTCTTTGCTACCTAGTGTCAGTTTCTTTTTTTAATGCTATACATTTGATATAACTGAAGATCAATTTTAAGAGCTTACAGTAATATATTTTAAGTAATATATATTTTAGTATATGTAAAAACAGTGGACAAAGGAAGATTTATGAACTAGATGAACAAGGTTTTGGGAGTCAGCAGTTTCCCAGCAAGGCCAGGAATAGTTTTACTAGCAGGAAAACTGACAAGATTCTTTTTTTTTTTTCCACTAATGCAATAAAAATAGGAATTCTTAAAAAGAAGAACTCCAGTGCTGTTTACCGCATGCGTTTCTTGTTTTGACAACAGGCCTGTAAACACAGTTCTGAAGATACTAAACCTTTGTCTCTCTTTTGCCTTTTTAAAAGGGACTTCAATTGGAATAGAGGGTATGTACAGAAAAATCGAGTTGACACCATTTTAAAATGTATTTTTACACAAATAATATAGAAAAAAATCATATTTTACATAAGAATTTTAAGTATTTGAAATATGTATATATATACTGTATGTACTTCATATATTCTTTATTTTACATTTTCAATGTATTAAAAAGTATTTGAGCTGGTTGGATTTGAGCATGTAATAATATTTGAAAAAACAAAGGAAAAGCAGAAAAGAGGGGGAGAGGAGGGATGTGCTGCCCCGCGTAGCAGCAGCCATGGGTAGCACAGGAACCAGGAGTGCCCGAGCAACTGACTTTTGCAAGAGTTTGGCAGTTCTGGGTCGAGCACACAGAGCAGTTTTCAGTCCTGTGTCCTGTTTGTGTTCATTCTGCTGCATAACCACCCCGAATGACCTATGGGGAGAAGACAAGGCATTGAGGTGGATCTCTCACCCCATCAATGCTACTGTTCTAGCCAAAGAGATGTACTGCTACAGAAGCTACTCAACCAAAACAAAATCAAAGCTATTCAGTTTTGCTCTGCCACTGACATTTTAATGAACAGCTTGATTTCTGATGCAAGTATCTTATGATGCTTATGGGAAATTCAAGCAATATACCAAAAGTCCAGCAATTTCAAGGAAGCACTATCAAAGCAGATGTGGTTATTTTCTTAGTTTGTAGGCATTTGGGTGAGAATCTCCCTGGAGAGGATGCAGCATCTTTGCAGCTATTAGAGATGAAGGGGATTCTCATCAGGAGTGGGATCCTACAGACACTGCTCTTGTGTAGCAATGCAGAGGGCAGCTGCAGAGCAGGTTGGGCAGACCAGCAGCTCACAGAGGAGTCAGGATTGGGCGCAGAGCTGCGTATTGCCAGTAACGCAGCGGTTTCCCTGCCTCCTGGTACTCTATTCAGATACTGCTTGTTCTCTGTGTACCATTTCTGACAGACGAGGAGAGCTGCAGCCCTGCGATTACTGGCCCAGTTCTGTAGCTCCAGAGACAAGAGTACAGATCCCTGATGAGGGAAAGGGAGAGGCGGCTCGTCAGCACAGGAGGTGCAGTGTGCTTGACTCATCCCTTTTCCGTGATGCCTTTTGGCTTAGATAAATCTCAGATTACATTTACTTCCACTTTCTCCAGCAAGCAACTGCAGGAGTTCTGTGTATAAACTGGAGATGTTTACAGCAGTCCCGTAGTGCTGGGACTGACAGGGAAGGAAACTGGATGTGGGAAAAGAAGAGCTGTTAACCAGTCAAGTTTTAAAAGTACAAGTCTGAAACCTGAAAAGGCAGACAACTGGGATTTTTATACTGCTTCAGTTATTATTGGAACCTTTTTAAAGGCAAACCACGGCACCCAATGCTTTGTCAGAACTTGCTCTGGACAGACTGAGGGGCCTTCCACTCTACAACAGTTGCACTATAAGAAAGTCCCGCTGTTTGGGGGGTGTATATATGTGGAGCTGGGAGGGGGACTGTGCAGGTGTGTCCGTGTGTACACACAGCTATGTTCTAGGTAGGTGTACCTGGTCAGACCAGCTTCATCTCAGTCCTCTGGTGACATCACACCTTGCAAAGTCACCACAGACCTGAGACGGAATTACAGCTTTTGTATTTGTTTTCGTATTTAAGATGTATAGGTTAGAAAGAAGATATAATAGCAATGTGTTTTGATCTGCTGCACTTTTGAAAACAAAAACATTCCTTATTCCCCTGGTACTGCTGCATATCCCATCCCTTCCCCAGTTTAAAACAATTTAAACTTTTCAGCAATTTAAACCCAACAGGTCTGTACCTTTCAATTAAGACCTCTCAGCTGCTGCATTATTGGAAAATCTCGGCCAAGAGTGTCCCTTTGGGAGGCCGGGCCTCTGGGATCCTTGTGGCCAGTTCCATGGCCATCACCAGGAATGCAAACCACCAGGACATGAATATGGCTGGTGAAGCACTCCTGCTGCAGCGTGTGCACTGGAGTGTTTCCCAGGATTTTAACCCTACCGGTAGCCGAGACAGGACAGGCATTACCTTGAACCTCAGGGACAGAGGTTTCAGTAACTATGCTTTCCTCTGGTGTCTAGAGGTGCACCAAGGATGCACCCACAAACACCCGACTTCGCTGGATTTACAGCGCTTTCTGTTGCCGTAGATCTCCTGTGCGATTGTATCACAGTCCGTTCGTAAAGTCAGGTTTGAGTGGGACGTTGTGGCCAGGTTTGTGTGGAAAAAAGAAAGCAATCGTAGTTCAGTGTGGTAACTTCCAGGCTTTGAAAATCAGCACAGGCCAGTTGTAGCAAAGGAGCAACGCGTCAGGGAGAAAGGTGGTCCGTTGTGCTGCAGCTATGCATTTTGGCAAAGGTTGTTTTGTCAAGGTTTTCACCCATTTTGCTGTATGATTCCACCTTAGCTTCTCACCAGCATTAAGAGGGATCTGAGGAGTGCTAGAAACTGCGTCTAACCTTTCACTTGAAGATCTGCGTGCCCCTAGGAGGCAGCACTTTGACAAGCAACAGCCTGCCCTGTGGCTTTCGTCTTACTGCGATTCTGTTCCTCTTCCTCTCACTTCTTTTTGTCATGTAAAACTACCTGCTTTATAAATGAATGTAAAATACAGTAGTTCTTCAGCACATGGACAAATGTGTATTTTATCTTAATGTTTCATTTTATGTTAAATAAAAAGCATATGATTTTATGGTCGTTTGTACTGCTCCTGTTGATTGTTCGGTTGACTATCTGTTGAAAGACTGTCTTTCAAGGTACCCTGATGAATGATAGTGAACTGCACATCTCTGGCTTTATAAGCTGTGGACATCTGCAAAAGGTGTTTGACAATTTTCAAGGGGAAAACTTTGGTTTAATGTTAAGCCTTAACAAACCCTCAGCAGTTCCCTCAAGCCTCACTTCTGTCTCCATAGGAAGGTTGCTCCAGCCCTCAGATCATGTCCATGGCCTGCTCTGGATTCACTCCGACAACTCCACATCTTTCTTATGCTGAGGCCCCAGAGCTGGATTCAGGACTGCGGGGGGGGGGGGTCCTCACTTGAGCAGTATAAAGGGGGACAATCCCCTCCCTTGACCTGCTGGTCACACTGCTGGTGATGCAGCCCAGGACACGGTTGGTTTCTGGGCTCAAGCACACACTGCTGGGTCATGGTGAGCTTCTCATCGACCAACACCCCCAAGTCCTTATCGTCAGGGCTGCTCTCAATCCAGTCTGCCCCAGTCCATCCTGATACCAGGGATTTCCCTGACCCAGGTGCAGGACCTTGCACTTGGCCTTGTCAAACCTCAGGGGGTTCCCATGGACCCACTTCTCGAGCTTGTCCAGGTCCCTTTGGATGGCATCCTGTCCCTGAGGTGCATCAACCACTCCACTCAGCTTGGTGTCATCACTGGACTGTATTTTCTTCTCTAGTTTTATTCTTCTTTTTTTTCTTTTTTTTTATTTTAAATTCATGTAACTCATTAATTACCATAGCTTATTGTTGAATAAATAATAAGACTCTAAGCTTCTGTTAGCCTCATAGAACTCTCCTGTGACCCCTTAGAAGAGCAAGGCTGGGCACAGCACACAGTTATGAAACAGTGAAGCTTGTACTCTTTAAGAGTCCAAGGCATAAACAAATAAAGCCAGGTTACCACCTGTTGTTTTTGTAGGTTTCGGAACTTCCCCCTGCAGAACACATGGCAAATGGATTTTAAAAATTATAATTTGCCTATACACTGCTAAGGAAACAGGGTGGCGATACGAAGGCTGCATGCCCTCCACTGCATCTACTTTGGAGCCTACATCTTCTTAGTAAATGGCAGATACAGGCACAGAATCATAGAATCATGGAATTGTTTTGGCTGGAAAGAACCTTTAAACTCACAGAGTCCAACCATTAACCCAGCAGTGCCAAGCCCACCACTAACCCATGTCACTAAGTGCCACATCTACACGTCTTTTAAATACCTCCAGGGATGGTGAGTCCATCACATCCCTGAGCAGCCTGTTCCAGTGCTTGACAGCCCTTTTGGGGGAGAATTTTTTCCTAATATCCAATCTAAACCTCCCCTGATGCAACTTGAGGCTATTTCCTCTCATCCTACCACATGTGACTTGGGAGAGGCGACTGACCTCCACCTCACTACAACCTCCTTGCATGTAGCACCATCATGCTCTTCCATCCCACAGGTCTTCCCAGTTAGCAGCCAACACAAGATAAAGCAGAAGCTGAGCTCAGGAGAGAGAAACAATCTCCTCTTTTGTTCCTCTTCTGTGTGACAAGATAATTACCTTGCTTGAGCCATAAGCGTGCTCTTTAGCTATATTTAGAAACTTTTTTTTCACTTGGAATGTTTTTAATTGCACTTTGGCAGAGAACAAAACAAGCCAGATGCTGCTGCATGTACAACTGAAGCAGGTCCTGTTCAAATACAGGTGAATTGTCTAATTCTCATAGGACATCCTTTGTATGGCTCCCTCCCAGGGCACAGAACTTACCACAGCTGACTCATTACTGAAGAGGTGTTTGGAGAGCTGGAAAAAACCAGACACCATACCTTCCATATATTCATGAATCCAACAAAGGAGTACAGGCCACAGGATAGACTGGGACCTATACAAACAGTGTGGAGAATTACTACTTTTTTTTTTTAATTAAAACACAAGCAGACAAACCAAAACCCAACTAGAAGTGCCATTTTCTTTACTTAGACCTGGTAATCAGCCATAATTTCTAACATCGGTGGGATACAGCATAAAATTAAAAGCGAGCCAGTGTTCAAACAGGAAAGGTGCCTTCCAGCTGGAGAAATTAAAACTTACAGAAGGAATTCAGAAAGTATAAACTATTTGAGGCCAACACCATGAAGGAATGCTAAATAGACGAATCCAGGCTGAGGACAACATGTCAAAGTATGAATACTTGCTGTCAAGAAAAGGTAATGGAAGTAGACATACCCGTTTGGCAGGCACTTACTACTTCAGAAGTATGTAAGAAATGAGGACCCAAGTAAGCTGAGTTGGCAATACCACATAAGCACATTGCATTTTAATAGTCCATGGTCACTCAAGCACCCAGAGTCAACTGGACGCAGCAGAAGCAGGGCTTCCATCATCCCAGGGGATGAGGTTTGTGTCTTCTGTCTTTTCAGAGCATTGAACCTCTCACTGATACTTAAAGAGCTCATAATTACATAGTAAACATCACAGCCAAAAAAGCCACTGATTTGGCACATACCATCAAAGTGGTAAGACAGGATGCTATATGCATTTATAGGGTTTGGAGTGGTATATCTATTTTTTAATAGAGAATAAAGAAAAACAAACCTGAGAAAAGGTTGGTTCGAGCCATCTGGAAGAAGAATTAAGCTCTGCACTGTCCAACCAAGCAGAGGAATGCTATAAAGCTCCTTGCTGCAGAGGCTATTGCTCTTCATAAACAAACGAGATAAAGTAACTACTGGCATAGGAGTGGAGTGCTCTGATCAGTGAAAAGTAGGATTTTGGAATATCTTGCAATAGGTGGGGAGGTGAACAATCCAAGTTTTCTCACAAACTTACGAAGTGACTTACAGACATGTTGCCAGTGACATCAAGGAGCTGTTCTTGCTGATACAGAGATTCTTTCCAATTCTACATTTCTTATCACAAACAAGCTTTGTGCACTGTGTCACACTGGAGATATCATATGAGTAAACGGGTCCAATTCACCCAGCAGTGGAACGTGCTGCTTTTGAGTCACTCCTCGCCAGCATCTTTCTTCACCATCAGTTTCACCACAGGTTTAAACAGAAAGGCAATTTGCACTCAGTGCTTGGACTGAAAACAAGTATCCGCTGAAGATCTTAAATTCCCTGGTTAACTCCTGAAACATCTCTGTTTAAAGACGTGAGAAGCTGCAAATGGTTTTTAAGCAAATTTTGCCACATTTTGCCACTTTGCTAACAAAGCAACAGCTGTAAAAGGGGAATAAAAGGAAGACATGGAAGATTTTGCCACTGTCTCTTCCCTGCCCCCACAATTTTTTCCATATTTTTCTCAATTTATCTTTGAGAAAACATTTGCCCTTGCAGTGACTCTGGTTTGAGTTTGCTGCCTCAGCAGCAGTTGAGCTTTCACTGCTGATTACTTGCATGGTTGTAGTGGGCAGCTCCTGCTGCCCTCCTTGTCTTGTTTCTTAGACAGAAGCCTTAATACTCTTGTGCTGCTGAGAAAAGCCATATAGAAGACAAATACAGCCTGTGGAAAACACTTTCTTTTTACTTCAGAATAATGGAAAATGAAAGCTATTTACATTGCTATACAACTTCTGTTATTACTGATGTTGCACAGCTTTCTCCATGCAAAGCTTAACCCACTCCAATGCCTTTTTCTGTTTTCATTTCTTCTTCACCTCTACTGAATTTGGTTTAGCCCTCTCCTCTTACACCTCCTGAAAACCTTTTCCTGTCTTGCCCAAAACGGGTCCAAAACGCAGCTTATTAAATTGTTAAGCGCAGGGAGACTGAGTTGAATAGTTCTTTTTTTGTTGTTGTTTTTAGAATTGCATTTAATGCTGAATATTTAGTAATGGAAAATAAAATGAACAGCTGATTCTCTGCTGGAGGTCTCCAAATACAGAAACCTGTAAATTGAGGTTATGGTAATGTTCCAAAACATACTGGGACACTGAATTTGAGCAAAAGGTACAGATGAATTTCATCTTCTCATTCGCTTTCAGATCTGTGCTGAGCAGTTTTTAAAGGAATAGTGAAGAAAAGATCCTACTACTGTGCTGCATAAAGAGAAGCATTATTTGTCAGTCTGGTGAAGGAGCTCTTTCCTGAGCACAGTAATTACCTTCAGTGCTGCATCTTGTTTTGGGAACCAAAGTTCAAGGATGAGTGGGACAAGAAGACAGGATTCCAGAAAAGAGCAACTGAGTATCTCTGCAGAGAAAACATGCTCTACAAGGAAGGCTACTGTTGAAATCTGAGCAGAGAAAGCTTCAGGAACGTCACAGCATCTGGAAGTACCTGTAGAGGAAGGGAGTCAAGTCACTCAATATCCAATGGAGGAAGGACAAAGAGCAGCACTGAAGTAACTCTGGAATGGCAAGGCTACTTTCACACTGCAATAGATCGGCTTAGGAAGAATATGAGTCATTCATTGCCAGGAGTTTTTTTAAGCCACATTTGACAAATGTGTATGGGTGCATATTCCATGTTATGAGATTAACATGATGGGCTTGTTTGTCGACAGGACACAAAGGGATCCATTCAAGAGTTACTTTTGTGCACCGTGAACACTGTATTCCAAACAAGTAGGATGCTCTCCCATTAGAACAGAAAATGAAAGAATATTATAAACCTTCTGCATCTACAATCATCTACTTTTGGGTTTGCTTTTGTTCCTCTTAATGCCTTTGTGACAGCCCCAAAATGCAAATTCAATCTTATGCTCAGATCTGAAGGGACATCATCGGAGATTTCCTTTCTTTTTTGTGTTTTATTCACAATTGGGTGAAATGACATAGAATGACACTGAAGCTGAAAATCTCAACAAGAACAAAAATATTTCCTGTGCCAAATTTCATGTTATTTTTAAAGTAGTACCGCTACTCTGGAATGCTAAGTACATTCTTGTGTCAGAATTGTATCATCAAAGCTTACTCCTACAGAAGGATGTCTCCAGTCTCTTTTTCTGCCTTTTGATGTAGCTGTTGC